TTCTGGGAAACTTGTACTCGACACTTGGATGTAATCACTATATCATTATTGTTGAAGCACTCAACTCTGGGAGAACAAAGGGAAACCACGTAAATATTACAGTCAATCCTGGATATATCGAACTCGAGTGGGATCACAAAATAGTTCAATAAATCGAGAATTCTAAATGCAAAATATGCATATTTAAGGCCTAAATTGAAGCATTCTAAGCCTCAGAAATCGTTACAAGAGCTAACATAACAATTCGCTCACAGTATAATGAAAAACAACTTGCGAACTACAAATTACCGCACTTTATTTCGCATAAAGATAGTCCATAAACTTGTCTTGGTTTTTGCACGCCGTCAAGTTTCAGTCATCCTCAATATCGTTGAAGCTTTTCAAATAAGCGAATTTAGCTCCTTCGGCCACAACAATGTTGATTGACGCAGAACGCCGATGCAAGCTTTGTAGCACGGCAAAAAATTAGTTAGCGGCTAACCGACTGCTAACCAACTGGCAACCGCAGCCACGATCTTATCATTGGTCACGATGGCATCAATGCAGTCAAAAACAGCTATGTCATCATTTTGTATCGATGATTGATTGATATGTGGAGTTTCACCTCCCAAAACCACCATATGAATATGAGAGACGCCGTAGTGGAGGGCTCCGGAAATTTTGACCACTTGGGGTTCTTTAACGTGCACCCATATCTGACCACACGGGCCTACAACATTCCCGCCTCTATCAGAAATGCGGCCGCCACAGCCGGGATTTGATCCCGCGACCTGCGTGTCAGCACTTGTATCGAAGTCACTTACTTTCCGAGATGGTGCCCAGAAACGCTGATAAAACGCAGAATTCCCTGAGGCCGTTTTCAGCGGTCATGACGCACCCAAAGTCGTCACCTGGCTCACAAGGAACGCTCACGATGGTGTTTTATTTGACATCGCTCCAAGCGCCAGTCATATTTTTTATCACTACGCGAGGGTTAATGTTCAGTTCAACTCCCGAAAGAAGATATCAAGAACGAGACAAGAAGTACACAAGACCACAAGCCGCAGAAGACAACTCCGAGTTCGTCCAAGTTCCCATCGTCGACATGTTGGCGATATCATTGTCGCTTGTGGCTTTGTAGCTGGCAATCGCTGCTTTCAGTGGCTTTGATGCGAGAAGATATAAAAAGCGTTGCCTCCGAGACACACGTTTTAAAACCGAAAACACTAAAAATACATCACAAGGTTGCACATCTCGAAGGCCATGCTTTTCAGGCTTGCCTGCCATTGTGCGCAAACAAAAAAGAAAGAGAATGCGAACATTGCAATGAGAGCACCGAGTCACTTTGCATTATGATTTCCAAGCCCTCGGCAATCGGTCTTCAGAAAACATTATGTCCATGCGATAAGACCTGCACATAAAACGTACTTGCAAGTGCCACACGATAAACCAGATAAGTGCAATCGAAGAACTTTTTTTTTGTTGTTGTTGTTGTTGTCACCTGCACGTGAAAAAGGATCGGAATTTGTTAAAACGCGGTCAAAAATAGCGCGTTTTGAGTTCAGTGTACTGACCTCTCAATATTACACACTGATCTCAGTAAAAGTTTAATTTCTTTTTTCCTTCATAAGCTCAAGCTGCAACAGAGGATACAATAGCACATAGTAAAAGTTGCTGGCAGTGACTGCAAAGAAACCGTTGCTCAAAATGCATTCTCTCTCTTTTTTTCTTGTTCTTTTGAAAAAAAGGTAGTGTTGCAAAAGAAAAGAAATAAATGCGTGCAGGCAAGCACACGATGTGATTTAGATGATTATTGTTAGAGAAAGATAAACACTCTAAAAATTTTCACATTTTGGGCCTATCTTCTCCCGAAATAATGGTCATTTGTCTTGCATGCCTTCCTTTTTATTAATGCTATGCATTGTGCATGTTTTACATAAAGATTAGTGGGGACAGACTTTTCAAGAGGGAAACCCCAAGACAGGTGAGAGTTACTGCTTAGGAACAAGATAACCTACAAACCAAAGCATAGGCATTTTTTTAATATGCACACTTTTGGGGTGTATTTCCACACAATAATAATTGGCTTCTGGCTGGCTTTCATTTCTTTTCTCAAATTGCGCGCTATCTATTTCCCAGTCAAGAATGCTCTGTCACGCCTTTAGAGAGCACATCAATAATTACTGAAATGTATCAGGCATATAGAGATAATTAAAAGAGAGCATGTGAGATATGATTATTGACGAGTGGTAGAATGAAGCCCTAAGTACACCGTTTATTTTTAATGTGTATATATGAGCTCTTACAAAGTGCAAATTAAAGTATCTTAGGTACGTTTTAGCTAGCGCCACTCATAGCCAGCCTTCACCTCATGCATGGACTATGTGCCCTCTGGCAAAAAGAGTTTTCTACACTTGCCACCTCAATCACGAGCAGTGCTGCCTAACTTTCAGGGATTACACTTACAAAAAGACTCAACAAAGCGGGTGGTGAGGCGCCTTCAGTCATACTTAAATTGGTTGAATATCGGATGCATAATCGAAGGTTGTGGGATCGAATCCCGCCAATAAAAAGGCGATTTTTTATCCACTTAACATTGTTTTTACTGAGCAAACAAACAGATACTCATGACAAAAAAAAAAGCCCAAATGAAGCAGAAACATCATGAATTTTCACATTCTGGAAAATATCTTTAATTATATGGTTAAAAACAGTCTCACTCAAACACAAAGAGTGTAAAGGATCACCTAATTGTTTTGTACAGCAAAAATATATGCAGCTATAAATGAAAGCACATAGCTACTTTTTAACATTCTCTCCAGAATTCAACCTCCAATTGAATCTGTGCCCTTTGGGTCAGCAGCCAAGCACCATAGCCACTGTTTCACCATGGTGGACTCTTTGTGACCTTATAATCTGTTGAATTCATTTAATTTATGAACTATACACTTGCACATTGGTGGTATTGAGTGGGTGACTGTTGCAATTGAATGACTGTTGCAGTTGACTGTTGCAGTTGACTGTTGCAAAGTGGGTGACTGTTGCAGTTGAATCTTCAAGAATAGGTTCCGTAGAGTCATTGAATGGCATCAATCATAGCTACCACCAGTTTTGAGTATGCATACAATTTTCTCTACGTAGGGGCCCACAAGAAGTTTAACCTACTTCTGCTGCTTCAAATTTTTCAGTGGTGCTTGTGATGTGTTTGGCACCATTGACTGCAGCAAAACTTTTTTCCATTCCTTTGACTGAAGAGTCAGTAATGTGTATTCAATGCAGAGATTTTATACTTGACTTCATGGGTATGGTAGGATAAACACATTGTCTTGGTTTTTCAGCTTTATCAAGAATGGCTTTATATTTTATTGCAAAATTTTGCTTGTTCTATGAAAGCTTGCATTATTCACTTGGCTTTGACGCTGTAGCTTCTATTCTTTTTTGTAGATGGGTACTAAACCTTAGACTGGGATGTAAAATTAAGTGTAACTTTTCTCAAAAACGAAACACGGTACGATCATCAACTGTATCTTGCTAATTCATCATACTAGTGGCATTAATCCCTAATTATAAGAATAGGTCTCTGCTTTTATGTAACAAGAAAAAAATTTTCACTTTTCAACGTTCAGAAAGAGAGACCTTTAATCTTTTTTCTAGTATTATCATTTGCACACTTTCTCAGGGTATTAGGTTCAGGCTATTCAAAAAAGGTCCAAATATAATCTGAGAAAATTTACAGTAGATCAGATAGCTTTTCATTAAAAGTACATCGAGTATGGAATATTTTCAAAAAATTGATTATGAGGGGAAAAAATGCACACGTTCAAAAGTGGGTGCAAAAGGTGCTCTCAACATAAACCAATGACTATGCTACAAAAACTCTCTGGTGGGAAAATGTATGATCAAAGCTAATGGAAATGGTAGGAAATGAATATGTTTAATTGATCCATATTGATTATGAAAAGTACATGTATGCCAATAAAACCTTTCATCCTTAAAGAGGTGCAGTTTTTGGCACAATTTTTGAATACTTTTTAATACTCCTATTTAGTCGCTTATGCATGGTTTCACTTCTCAGAGTATGGTTTTTTTTAGTAATCAAATCATAATATTTTTTTATTGTTGTTGATCTACCCCACCATATTCTTTAAAATAAAGATTTATGTGATTAGAAGATATTACAGATACTTATGTGCATTTTTTATTTTGTTTAATTTTTGTTTGTAGTAGTAATGGGCATTGAGAACAATTTACATTTCTTTTGATAATGAATAAAATTATTTACTTGAAGTTTGGCACTGTGTCAAAGTATTGTGGTATGGCCTCATGGGCCTTTGCGTGGTGTGCATTTGTATATTGCAAACAATAAAGATTACCTTAGAATATTGAGTTCAAAGCAAAATTGAATTTAGAATATCCAGAAGCACAAAAGATGTAATGCCAACATGAATGGTAAGCATTGCACTATTGGCATGTCATTTTGATGACATTGCATTGTGCTGCCCATTTGGGCTTCAAGGGATGTGGTGATTTTTTTTTTATTTGCTTTAGGTTGGACAGTTTATACATTGCTTTTATTACAGTTATTTTGTCTTATAAGTTTTTTATTAATAATGGCCAGAAATATCCCTTGGAGTACCTTTGAAGCAGCATTCTTTTAAGGCATATTGAGGTTAAAAAATGCTGTGTCAATTGTAGTGGGTGTAGATGGCAGTCACAGTAATTTTTAGTCGTCGCCTTCCAGCTGTTTTATTACAGAAACAATGCCTTTGATTGTGCTTTTTTTATTGTTTTAATTAAAAAGCTTGCAGATTAGCATTGACTTTCCTTTTTACTCCTTATTTGTTACAGTGGTCATAAGACAAGTATTTGTTTTGACCTTTCCTGCACCTAATTTAGTGCAGTGCTCATAAGGCAAGTATTTTTTTGTTGCATGTAAGTAATGACAGTTGCTGATAATGTGAAGCGGAGCTACCTACTTTTACTGTCTTGAGCATAATCTAAGTGAAGTGTGTTTTCTTTAGACTGCAGGATCAGAGGCAAGTGTCCACGAGGAAGTGATTGGCTACATTGACCTGAACAGCTCTGGCTTGCAGCTTGTCGGCGGCGACACTTTCTACCTCCAAACAGAAGCACTTGGGGAGCACATCCTAATGTCTGAGCACGGAAAGGAAGGGCAACCTATAATTGTTGTTGTAGAAGAAAACTCCGAAAATGTTGTTGTTCAGGCATTTTCTAGAGATTCTGAGGCAGTAGGGGATGAAACAGCCTGCACAGTGAATCATTTCGATAATGCGATGTCAGCTGCCCTTCCAGAGCAGCTCACTGGTGTAGCGACAACGACAACTTCTGAAATACAAGAACTAATATTGTCTCAGGATGCTAATGGGAAGCTTGTAAGCATGAAAGGGGCTCAGGTTGAGCCCTCTGCTGCTGTTCTAGACGCTGGGCCTTCATGCCGTGAGGTTTCAAAAGGTAATGCAGCTGAGCAGTGTGCTGCATCACCTGAAAGCAGCCAGATGGAGTTACAGCAAGAATGTGAAACATTCTCTGGGGCAAATGGCAATAGTGATGTAAATGCAATTCTTGATAATCTACATGTTCCTGGAGAAAGGGAAGAATGTGAATATGATGGTGGAAGTAAACCTCACGCAGCTGGACCAGTGGGTGTAAGCAAATCTAGTAAGACAAGCAGCTCTGATATGCCAGTCACCTTGGGGCAGGGCGACGGTTCAGAATGTCGGGAAAAGCCAGCTTCGCCGAATGGGAAACCAGTACAAGTCATCGAGGAAAATAAGAATGGAATCATGGACATGAACGTTGGTGATAATCATTTTAGAGACATTTCTGTGGTATCGGTGCAGTCTGTAAAGCCTGGTACTGAGGTTAACCTTAACTCATCCAAAATGTCATCAGCACCACTCATTGTTGGTGTGAAGTTGGACACTGCTGAAGTGCTTGATGCAGACAAATGTACCAATAAAAATATCTCAAGTGCTTTACTGGACTCTAAGAGTAGCGAGTCCGCAGGCAACATTCCTGAAGTTTCCGATAGCCCAAGTGAAAGTGCAAGACTAAAAAGTACGGATGATGTGTGTGCATCTCGAAATCCAAGTAAAAATTTTATTGCTGATACTACAACAAATCCATTGCTTGGAAAGAAAAGTGACAAACCTCTTCCAATAGTTCCTGAGCACAGTGAAGTCCCACCAAAAGAATCTCTTAAGGTAGGCCAAAACACTAAAGTGTGCAGCAAAAAAGCTAGTCAAAGTGCCAATACTGAACAGCAAAATGAACCTTTGAGCCAAACCATTAGAAGTAGCAGTGCTCGCACTACTGTGAGACCACTGGATAGAAGCCTGGAGCAAGACGCCAGCAAGCATTCTGGTATAGTGAAGGCTGATGCAGCAGGTCTTGCCAAAAGCAGGGTGGGACATCGACCTCAAGGTCCTACTAACGAAAATTCCTCATTAAAAAATGTGTCGATATTAAAGCCACAGGCCTACTCTACATTTGCATCTTCTGACTCAGAGGCTAGCAGCACAGCCCTTCACCAAGAACAAGAAAGCTTGGAAGAGAAGGAAGGGACACAGTGTGCAATAGAGGATGAGAAAAGTGAATCTAGTCCAGTCAGTACAAGTGTAAAAAAAGGCCTAGAGTCCAGAGACGAGCATGCGAATTTTAGTAGTGATTATTTGCCTGCTGGTCGACAGGAATTGTCTCGAACCAGTTGCAGTGCTGTTGCACACAATATTGATCAATCTGGAGGAGAAATTACCTCAACTAAACTCTATAATACTCATAAAAAAACAAATGAACCAGGACAAATGTCGCTCAAAGGTGAAACATTGAAAGTTCAACCAGCAGCTAGCGTTTCAAGTAGTAACGTGACTACTGACAATGATAAAGCAAAAGCCCATTTGATTGAGAAAGATAACCCATTAACAGGACTTTGTGATGTTTTCAGAGAAAATTCTCAATCAACATCGGATCCTCAGACAAAATCTATTCAGAAAGCGGAGGCATTCAAGTTAAGTGACGCTAAGGCGTTGCATGAAATGCGAAAGAAACAAAGTCACAAAATGACAATGATTCCTGTAACAAGCAATTGTGCAAAAAGCAAGTTGCAGGGCTCTTCACATAATGAAAGTCATAAAGCCTCCCAGAAAAGAGAGTCTGAAAGTGTTAAAGTACCATCAGATGCAACTTCAATGGCTCGTCAAGGCCGCCAACCTATTATAGCCAAGGAACAATGTGAAATTCAACCGCAATCACCACACACTGAAGAAAACAAGTTACAGAAAGAAACCACTGATAGCATTAATATACTTCCTGGCAAGTCTGATGATAACACAGAAATGGGCATTTCCAAGTGTCGTGATAGTAAGGACACTTTTGAGCATACTGCTCGACGTGATGGCATTGGAGTGCTTCAAGACCTACAAGAAAATGAGCATCAAGGCAAGGATGTATGTGAAAGAGCTGAAATAAGAGCGAAATCCTGCAACCAGAACATCCAGGAACAAGTAGGAGAAGGCCTTACTAATGTCATGAATACAAACAGTACAAATGTGCCAGATATTAATACTTCACTTGAAAAGGATGAAGAAACCAGCGGAACTAAAGGCCCTCCTACTGATATACTTCTTGCTGCACTTGACCTGGTACCCCGTCCACCTGATGACTCAACAAAAGAGCAAGATGGGACTGCTGAAGAGCCATGTTGGACGTTTGCTACATCTGAATGGGAGAACAGAGAAATCAAACCACAAAGTGAATGCCTCCATGAGCAAGGAGATGATACTCCCAGTAAAAAGCGTTGGAGCCTTCGTACACCAATAAAACCAAGAAAGAGAGTCGTCATCCCAGATAGCGACGATGAAGATTTTGAGGCCTACGTTAGTGAAGATGTTCAGCCTGTAACACAAAAGAGCAAGTCAGAAGAGGCATTCGATGAGCTTTTAGATGTCTTCAAAAAAGAGCAAGTTCAGAAAGCTGCTGAAGAAACTGCAGTAGTGAGAAAAAGAAGTACAAGAAAACTAGGATGTCCAACAGGATTCCTGTCACCAAAAAGCTCATCTGTACATTCGAGATCATCCGAAGCCAATAATAAGCCATGCGAAAAAGAGTCAACTGTCAAGACAGCAAAAGTGAAAGATGTAAAGACTACAGCAAGAAAACACCAATCGGTGCACACACCTTGCACAACCAGCCAAGCGACTGCTGTAAAGCAAGTTCGAAAGCGACGCTCGGAGCCGGTGAAGGTTGTGCCTCATAAGAAGAGCGTAGGTGATGGTGCAGGTAGCCAAACTCCCTCTGTGAGTGATACACTTGCTGGTGTCATCAGAATTCGTTGCCAGAAGCCGAATTCCTCAAAGGATAAGATGACATCACAGTATCACTGTTCCAAATGTGGCTTCCGCTCAGCTCGCATGGACAATATTGTGAGGCACCATAAGAAGGACTGCCCGTTCTCTAAACCACGACCTACTTGGGATCCCAAGGCCAGAAAAATTGTACTTGCGTGAACCTATTACCACTGTCACCTGCACTACCGGCTGCTGGACTATGGTGATTCACAATGGTTTTCATCACCAATATCTCTTATCCTAACTGGGCAAAAAAAAGAATGGTATCTGAACTGCTGGACTATGTCAATCCACTATATTTTATATCACCAGTATGACTGTTCCTGATTGAAAAAAAATGTAATATTGAAAACAGAAAAGTTTTTTTGTTTATATAATCATCATCATCATCAGCCTGACTACGTCCACTGCAGGACAAAAGCCTCTCCCATGCTTCGCCAGTTAACCCGGTCCTGTGCTTGCTGCTGCCAATTTATACCCGCAAACTTCTTAATCTCATCTGCCCACCTAACCTTCTGTCTCCCCCTAACCCGCTTGCCTTCTCTGGGAATCCAGTTAGTTACCCTTAATGACCAGTGGTTATTCTGTCTACTGGCTACATGCCCGGCCCATGTCCATTTCTTCTTAATTTCAGCTATGATATCCTTAACCCCAGTTTGTTCCCTAATCCACTCTGCTCTTTTCTTGTCTCTTAAGGTTACACCTACCATTTTTCTTTCCATTGCTCGCTGCGTCGTCCTCAATTTAAGCTGAACCCTTTTTGTAAGTCTCCAGGTTTCTGCTCCGTAGCTAAGTACCGGCAAGATACAGCTATTATATACCTTCCTCTTGAGGGACAGCGGCAATTTACCTGTTATGATTTAGAGTGCTTGCCAAATATGCTCCACCCCATTCTTATTCTTCTAGTTACTTCAATTTCGTGGTTCGACTCCGTGGTTATTACCTGCCCTAAGTAGACAGTCTTTTACAACTTGAAGTGGACTATTACCTATCTCGAAGGGCTGCTTTCTTCCGAGGTTGTTGTACATTACTTTTGTTTTCTGCAGATTAATTTTAAGACCCACCTTTCTGCTCTCATTGTCTGATTCTGTAATCATGAGTTGCGATTCGTCCCCTGAGTTACTCAGCAATGTCATCGGCAAAGCGCAGGTTACTAAGGTACTCTCCATTATTTCTTATCCCTAACTGTTCCCATTCTAGGCCTCTGAAAACCTCCTGTAAGCATGCGGTAAATAGCATTGGGGAGATTGTGTCCCCCTGCCTTACACCCTTTTTGATTGGTATTCTGTTGCTTTCGTTATAAAGCACTATGGTAGCAGTTGATCCCCTGTAGATTTCTTCCAGGATGTTTATATATACTTCATCGACGCCCTGATTCCGCAGTGTCTGCATGATGGCTGATGTTTCTACTGAATCAAACGCCTTCTCGTAATCTATGAAGGCTATGTATAGTGGTTGGTTATATTCTGAGCATTTCCCTATTACCTGATAGTATGAATGTGGTAAATTGTTGAGTAGCCTGTTCGAAATCCTGCTTGTTCCTTTGGTTGATTGAATTCTAACGTTTTCTTAACTCTGTTAGCAATTACCTTTGTAAATAGCTTGTAAACTACAGAGAGCAAGCTAATCGGCCTGTAATTCTTCAAGTACTTGTCATCTCCTTTCTTATGTATCAAGATGATGTTAGCGTTCTTCCCAAGACTCTGGTACTCTTCCCGTCAGGAGACACCTCGTAAACAGGGTGGCTAGTTTTCTAACACAATCTGTCCTCCATCTTTCAGCAGATCTGATGTTACCTGATCCTCACCAGCAGCTTTGCCTCTTTGCATGCTCTCCAAAGCTTTTCTGACTTCTTCTATCATTACTGGTGGGGTGTCATCTGGGCTACTGCTAGTTCTTACAGTATTAAAGTCGTGGTTGTCCCGGCTACTGTACAGATCTCTGTAAAACTCCTCCGCTATTTTAACTATCCTATCCATATTGGTAGTTATTTTGCCTTCTTTGTCCCTTAGTGCATACATCCGATTTTTGCCTATTCCAAGTTTCCTCTTCACTGCTTTGACGCTTCCTCCAATTTTCAGAGCGTGTTCAATTCTCTTCATGTTATACCTTCTTACGTCGGATACCTTATGCCTATTAATCAACTTCTAAAGCTCTGCCAGCTCTATTTTGTCTGTTGTACTTGAGACTTTCATGATTTGACGCTTCTTAATGAGATTCTTCATTTCCTGGGAAAGCTTGCCAGTGTCCTGTCTAACTACCCTGCCTCCAACTTCCACTGCACACTCCGTAATGATACTCGTCAGATTATCATTCATTGTATCTATGCTAAGGTTGGTTTCCTCACTAAGAGCCGAGTACCTGTTCTGAAGTGAGACTCTGAATTCCTGTACTTTCCCTCTAAGTGCTAGCTCATTGATTGGCTTCTTGCGTATCAGTTTCTGTCGTTCCTTTCTCAAGTCTATACGAATTCGAGACCGTACCATTCTATGGTCACTGCATCGTACCTTGCCAACCACTTCCACATCCTGCACGATGCCTGGGTGTGCACTCATTATAAAGTCTATTTCGTTCTTATTTTCGCCATTAGGGCTCCTCCATGTCCACTTGCGGTTTCCTCGTTTTCGGTAGAAGGTATTCAAAATCCGTAAATTATTGCGTTCTGCGAATTCTACTAGTAGCTCTCCTCTGGTGTTTCTAGTACCGATGCCATAATGTCCTACTGCCTGGTCTCCAGCTTCTTCCCTACCTTTGCATTAAAGTCTCCCATCAGTATTGTATACTGTGTTTTTACCTTACTCATATCCGATTCCACGTCTTCATAGAAGCTTTCAACTGAAGCGTCATCATGGCTGGATGTAGGCGCGTAAGCCTGTATCACCTTCATCTTGTATCTCTTATTCAGTTTAATTACGATACCTACCACCCTTTCATTAATGCTATAGTATTCCTCTATGTTGCCAGCTATGTTTCTGTGAATTAGAAACCCCACTCCCAGTTCTCTTCTGTCTGCCAAGCTCCGATGGCAAAGGACGTTCCCATTCTGTAGCACCGTATAGGCCTCATCTGTCCTCCTAACCTCACTGAGCCCTATTCTATTATATCCCATTTAACACACTCTAGCTCCTCGAATAGTACAGCTAGATTTCCCTCACTAGATAAGGTTCTAGCGTTAAACGTTGCCAAGTTCAGGTTTAAATGGCGGCCTGTCCGTATCCAGAGATCCTTAGCACCCTCTGCTGCATTGCAGATCTGTTCGTTTATATAGCATAGTTTTGTTGTAAATTTTGACCACCTGGATCTAAATAAAGTTCAGCTTTCACTTGGTTATGCTGAATTTTTAATAATATAGCCCATAGTAGTGTTGTGTTTATTTTAGTTTTTGTATGTATTTAGGAACAAAAGTACGGGAATTGCATTATCTACATGCTTAATGTAAATGTATTATTTGTGTGCTTGTGTTTAATTTACAGTTTAAACTGTATGCCAGTGCCACTCCAAAAAACACTTGTATGTTGTTGCAGGGCACATGTTCTTTGATCTACCAGTGGCATTAACGTGCAGCTGAAAAATTTTTATCAAATTGTTTGATCATAAAATCAGGTGATGTGATTGTATCACTGCGCCAATCATGGAACCTACTGCTGCAGCTAGTGCACTTAAAATGACCAAACATGCCACGCGTTGCCATGGTTTTAGTGTAGATAATTATGCATATCATTTTTCCTGGTACATTTCTGGTCCTATGTGGTAGCTTAATGAACTAGCATGTATTGTAGTCTATAGGACTTTGTTTTTGTTTTTTTTGTCAGAATAAACATGTTCATCCTAAGGGCACCTTTGCAATCTTTGTGAAATCCTCCTTTATTGCACAGCCACTAAAAGGTGCCTGCAATCAGTCACCAGCAAAAAGGGCATTGTTCAGAGCATATTCCTACTGTTGATGGCAGTGGGGCAGTGTCATAGGAATAGTGTTTATCTCCTCCTACTGCCTATCTTTAAAACAATTTGCGATGCTGGCATTTTTACCAGACAGTGCAATAGATGGTTTCAGTGTTTGTAAACAAACTGGCTCGCGCCGAATGGCCTACCCCAGAAAACTTCCAGTGCGCCACTGGAAAAGGTAATGCCAAAAGGTAATGCTTTTCCAATGGTCCCGGCGTGGTTTTGGCGGTGTTTTCGTGATGTGTGCGAGTGATGTGTGCGGTGGTGTTTTCGGGATTTCTGGCGCATTCCCTAGGATGTGCTCAAAGCAACGTCTAGCAGCTACATGAAGGGGCTCGATGTAGTGCACGGGAGGTACAGGCGCGGCGCGGCCACTGCTACAGGTAACACTGTTTGCGTGGCCGACGGGCGCCACGCAAAATATCCATCGAGGCGTTGCAATGAGTGTGGCCCCCAGCTGCATGTTACCTCTAACAGTGGCCAACAAAAAATGCACTAGCTGAGAAGGTTATCAGCTAGTGCACTGCAGGAAAAAGTTGGTCCTGAATGCCGACGATGTCATATGCAGTTTGCGGACGCGAACGGAATCGACAGCGCACACCTGGTTTTTTTTTTTTTTTCGTTTTTTTTTCTGTGCGCGTCTTTAAAGCGCACTCAAATCATCTATATGCTGGAGAAGAGTAGCGCGATATATAGTGAAGTTGTACAATTCACTTTTTCGACTGGAACTGAAAACCTGCCTCCTATCGAACCACCAACATATGTGTTTTCGTTTAAGCACGCAACCTCAAAATAAAATGCTTATTTCTGCGCCTGTCTCACAGCGGGCACTCTTTATAGAGGTAAATTTAAAACAACGACCGGAATCACTCGCAATCCAAAGTGTTCATGTGACTGAGAAATTATGTAAAGTACTGATTATGCGATGACATCGATCGCGGCTGAGTCACGCAAACTAGTATGGCTTACTCACGAGTAAACTATTCATGAATCAAACTTTACACAGTCCATTTTCACACTGAAAGATAAACGAGTTAAAATTCGGCAATGTTCATTAGGGGCAGAAAAACAGGCGATGAGTCATTTGCCTGGACAGATGAGAGCCCACTCGCTGGCGTCACTTTAAAAAAAATGCAGCAACAACAAAACGTGGACACCGCGACGTACATACACTGTGCGGCGATTCATGTTGATTGAATATTATGTGGGGTTTAATGTCCCAAAACTACCATATGAATATGAGAGATGTCGTAGTGGAGGGCTCGAAAATTTTGACTTCTTGGGGTTCTTTAACGTGCACCCAAATCTAAGCACACGGGCCTACAGCATTTCCGCCTCCATCAGAAATGCAGCCGCCGCAGCCGGGATTCGATCCTACAATTTGCGGGTCAGCGGCCGAGTACGTTGGCCACTAGACCACCGCGGCAGGGCGGCGATTCATGTTAAGCGCGGCTACTTAGTGTCCCATGTTTCGAACAGTGCA